TACTTCTTGTCTTTTTGTCCGTTTTGAATACATTTCTCTTCAATATTTTACCTGGAATAATCTATACCCATTTGAATGCCAAATTACGAATATGTTCTCGGCTTAAAGTTGACATTTCCATTGATATCTAAGATAGGACATATTGGATAACCAATATACAAAATTATTGATATGAGCAAGTAAACCTTGGGTTAAAGTCGAAAAGACAATTTTGACAATAATCAGAAAAACTGTTTGATAGTATTTTGACGACTTTCTGTAAAGTAAAAATTGTTATGTAAAAAACTATCGTTCCCTCAAATTAGTCGCTGTATGAACTATCAAAGAATACAACGTAGGTGAATATTGTAAACATTAAATCCTATGTAATGGAAGTTGACTTTACGAAATATGTATCAAAGAGATTTTATATATACCTAAACGAGACAGCATAACTAAAATACTGTAAATCCAGAAAAGATATCTTGAGACCAACATACGGTCTTAAAAGTCATTTTGAAAAACAAATCGACGAATATATTGATATGAGTGAGGAAATATAAATGTCTTGTATTCAGGTATTTAAGCAATGCAATGCACTTAGAATCATACCTTGAACATAATCCTTCTTAAAACAGTTATAAACATCAATTCAATGTTTTAAACTATATGTCAGGTATCAACTGTCAATAACATTATATAATTATATAATGATAACACTGGTTTCACGATAGGTTCTACATGTTTGAAGATTTGCTCATCCTTAAGGAGCACCAGAGATCAACTCGGTTTCCTGGTGGGATTTGTGTTGCTCAGTTTTTAGTTTTCTATGTTAGGATTTGTATGTACCAATTGTCGTTACCACAATTCCGTCCTCTTTTCCACGAATATGACCTACCAAATTAGATTTATCACCGGTTCGTACTTAATTCAGCAATACGATGAATGAAACATGTAGAGCAGGATCTGATTACCCTTCTGAAGCACATGCGATGACCCCTTATATTTTGGTGGGGTCATGTTGCTTAGTCTTTTATTTTCAATGTTGCGAGATGTAGACTGTTGATTGTCTTTTCGTCGATTTATTTTCTGGCAAACAGTTGTCAGTTTGTCGTCGACCTCTGAGTTTAAATTTCCCTTTGTAATCTTTCAAACCCTTTTTCATCGAAAATCACTTTAGAAAATGTGCATAAATGATATAATATAAATACACATTTTTTAATTTGAATTTTTTTTATACCAATAAACATATGATAGAGACAATTATTTACATGTTAGGTAATGCAAAAACTAATCAAAATTACCAGGCTTACAATTTTGTATATCAGACGCGCGTTTCGTCTACGTCTGACTCCTTGGTGGCTCTCGAATTGGAAGGCCACATGAAATACAAAGTTGTATAGCATTAAGAATGGAAAATTACAACAATTAATTGCAACATAAAAAATTGTATTTGTGATACAAAGTACCGAAAACTTCGTGTTTAATAAAACATCCTTGTTTCCGTCTAAATGTTAGGATCAAGTAATTACTTAAGAATTTGCAAACCTGAATAATTGTATTTGTATACCAGATGTAACACCAAACAAACAATTATACGTGATTATGTTTAATTGAAAAGTAAAACTATTATGTAAGTACTAACAACATCGTGCACATGGTGTATCTACAATCGTCCTATTTTCTTTTCTTCTGTTTTAATGTTAATGTAAAGTACTTACATGAAAAGATCTATGGATTGTTCATACATTTTCCATATATAAATGAAATTGTCAGCATCTCGACATTGTAAGCATACAGATACACTAAATATTGGAAAAAATGATAAAAAATATTCTTGCTTCCTCCTTACCCTCAGCATAACGCTGCTGGTATAGGTAAGCTGTTATTTACTTTTAACAGGTGAGCACGATCTATTCGTATTTTCAATCGAATCGTAAGAGAACAAATGTAGAGGGAGCTCTTGTGTGTATGCTTGCTTTGTTTTAAGCGTGTTTGTTTATAATAAGATGATACAGAGTTTGTTTTACAGTATATAAATATTTTTTGTAAATAAAGCTTTTGAAAGCCTGCAAAAAGGGATATCACTCAGTAATTTACTGAAGACGCTTATATCATTGATGTCTAAACAACAGTGCCTGTTGTTTATATAAGTATATAGGTGTAATGGTCGAGAATAACAAAAGTATAGTTACAGTTGATTTCCATTCGTTTGATGTGTTTGAGCTTTTGATTTTGTCATTTGATAAGGGACTTTCCGTTTTGAATTTTCTTTGAGTTCGGTATTTTTTTTATTTTACTTTTTAAACATATGAATTATCAATATCAAAAAAACATATACATTATCATGATTATGTACAGAGAGATAATTTAGCTTTCACGGATTGCTTCCATACAATAATCAGTATTTAAAGGAGGACTTCAAATAGGGGCAGATCCAGGATTTTTTAAAAGGGGGTCTTACTATTATACTACTATATTCGCGATCATACAAATACCTGGAACTGAACAAAAAAAAAACGTTTGAAGACAATATTACCAAAAAAATTGTTACGAATCTGGTTCCTTTTATATACGAAACAATATTGAGCATCTGAGATCACCCCCATATTTTGGTGGGGTTCGTGTTGCTCAGTCTTTAGTTTTCTATGTTGTGTTTTGTGTACTACTGTTTGTCTGTTGGTCTTTTTCTTATTTAGCCTTAGCGTTGTCAGTTCATTTCGACTTATGACATGTATGAGTTTGAATGTCCCTCTGGTATCTTTCACCTCTCTGTGACAAAGACAATAAAGCTGGTGTTAGCACAAAACATGTCTTTATGGTCATAAACAAAGGTTAGCATAGCACAACAACAAATCCCAATAGAAAAAAAGAATAGATAAACATTAAGAAGTAACAACGTGTAGTATCCGCCCATAAAAACCAACTGGTGTACTTACAGGTCTCCATGTTGAAGACCGTTCTTTGACCTATAATGGTTTACTTTTACAAATTGTGACTTGGATGGAGAGTTGTCTCATACCACATCTTCTTATATCTACTTACTTAGAATACTAATATCTGTAAATTAAATTTTTCATTTTGCAATCATTAATTTTAATGAAGCATCATAATATGTTTTACGTCTGCACACAACTGGTATTAAATAAGTAATTTATGTTATATTGTTTTCAAATTTTGAAATATAATGAAACCTTTCTGTTATATTTTGGTTCGCTTTCTGTTTTTGTTGAGGTTCGTATTGCTCAATCTGTTTTCTATCTATTGTTTGTATACTTTTTGTTTATCTGTGAGTTGCTTTGCTGTGTTTTCTTTTTAGATTGTCTTATTTTACTATGTAATTGTCGGAATACTAGTTCTAGAATTTGTCTGCGACATGTAACAGTGTTTGTTGTACTCAGTATTCCTCTATGTATCCATCGATTTACCAATAAATTACTGTCCCTATCGTAATCACTACCATAATACAAATATCTGAAACACACACACATACAAAACTAAAAGTCCGCAACAACAACCCCTTCCTTCTCTCCAAAACAATCGTTCAGTGGACACAACTACAGAACAGTTACATTATTTCAATCATCTATATCTGTATGTAACAAAATTGAATTTATTTTGATTTTTCGTTCTGTTATAGATCATGCATATTTTAAGGTTTTACTTGTCGTTTAACACATCGAGGGGTATCTGGATTGATCAAACGAAAGACCGACCGTAGGGAGGTCTTTCTTTGGCCAATCCGTACACCCCAAGGTTTGTTATATGACAATTAAACACCTCAGAATATGCATTATCTGACTTATATACCGTCCAAAAAATATTATTTTCTGCAAAGACTTGCATGATTTGTATTCTATAGTTTTACCGATCTCTTTATAATAAGATATCCTTTAATTATGCGTTTATGTTTAAATACACACTACGGCTCATGTATGATGTGAAAAAAAGTTAAATCACAAAAAAACTGAACTCCGAGGAAAATTCAAAACGGAAAGTCACTAATCAAATGGCAAAATCAAAAGCACAAACACATCAAACGAATGGACAACAACTGTCATATTCCTGACTTAGTACAGGCATTTTCTTATGTAGACAATGGTGGATTGAACCTGGTTTTATAGATAAATAGATAAATAAAACTCTCTAATTAATATAGATATAAACTTTCAAAATTCCAGTTACAATAAAAATTTAATTGTTATTGCATGAAGCAAGAAACAAATGAATTGTTACGGTGTATGAAAAATACAAGTCACTTTGTAAGTAATTCATTAAATTAACTTTATGAAAGGGGGTACTATGTTTTTTTCTTTTGTTACATGACATTTTTACCCGGAAAAGCAGATTTTTTTAATTTTTTATTTTAATGAACAATTCAGAATAACTTTTGTGTAGAAAATATGAATAAAAGGAAATAACCCTCTAATTGTACAAAATGCCATTTTATCTAGCAGTACAATCGGGGTAAAATGTTATAACACCTCCATCCTCCTTTCCCCATTTATAAAGTACGTGGCAGGCCTCCAATGAAAATGAGAATACCACGAAGTGAGCACAAAATTGTAATGTACATGTAATATGAATAGCAGAAGCTTCCTGGTACTTCAGTCTAATTAACGGAGAAAAGAATTTTTTTGCCTTTACCATCACCTTACACAGGTCATTATTTTATGCCTTGAAGCACATTTTATTGAAACTTGGTATCGTTCGTGTTGATTCTTTAAAAGAATTACCTATCATTCTGAAAGAAAATAACTCCATATAGGTTTATAAGTAATCATAACGTTTAATGAGGCATCGTGATAATTATTGACATCCATTGTTTGTTTATCTGTAGACAGCTGGTATTGCTTTATCAGTTTATTGTGGGGGATATTTGATTTCATAGGTATTAATGGGTCGAATGCTCATCATACTACAGTAGAATATTTACAATGAGAATCATATTTTATAGTTTCGTTATCTTTTTTTATTTACATTATACTCTGAAACTGCTGACAAAGAGAAAAGTTCGATTTTCAATAAAAATGTATCATACAATGTATACGACCACCATTTGACTTTAAACTTCAGTATCAGTAGGTCTGGCAATAACGTTAAAACATGGCAAAAGTAATGCTTATTTTGATAATTGTATTAGTCTGTGTTCAACAAGTTACAAGCGGAATAGGTAAGTAAAGTGTACCATTAGTGGGTTATTTCCTTAGAAGAAAAGTGGTTAAACCTAGTATATATCCTTTTATTCATATTTTCTACACAAAAATATTTTATACAGTACAAGAATTGTGTTTTCTAATAGTGCACATAATGTATATTTTTGCTCGAAACCCACGTGTAATCAACTATATACTTTGAACGTGGAAATTTTCGCTTATTTCACGATAACGTAGATGCACAAAATTATCCCCCGTGCGAATTAATTTTAGAAATCAACAGTATAAATGTGAATTTATCATTCAGTTTGCGAATTTAAACTTATCGCAAAAAGGTCGTCCATTCATATCGCGAAAATGATAACCCGCCGTAATATCCACTTTAAAGTAATGAAGAATTATTCACAAATGCACTGTCATTTTTTTTGTTTAAATCTTTTTATTTTGTTCGCCACAATTTGTGTCACGTTTGGTTTGTTTTAGTACCTTAAGTCTTGTTTTGTTTCTGAATTTCTTAAACTTATGATGTGAATTGTTAATTCTTGATTTATTTTCGATCCATTCAAAAGAAAATTTGTATAGTCCTTAGAACCTAGGAATTAGAATAATATGATTTTGAAATTCAATCACGGGTGTCAGTAAATTTAGCAAGTGGATATTCAAACATGACAAAAAAATGGTATATAGTAATACATGCAACTAATGTAAACAAAAATGGGTTTTGAGATATATGACAATTCTAAAGCAACCTAATAAGACTACATATATATCTTCTTATTCATATTTCGAAGAAAAATATAGTTTATACAGTATAAAATAACATTACGAGAATTGTTTTGACTTTACGAATAAGAAACCCACAGGTAATCTATTACGTACGTAATGTAGAATGTCCGCATTTACACTGTCATGTTTTGTTTAAATCTTTTAACGTTGTTTTTCGTCTGGCTTGGTCTATTTTCGGTACTCTTAAGTTTTTATTGTTTCTGAATTTCTAAAACTAAAGTTCTGTATATTATTTCTATTCTTTAGGATTGTAGTACAATCAGAGAAAAGATAAAAAACAAAAACAAAAAAAAAACAAAAAAAAAACCAGACTTAGCCATGGTTGAAAGAAACGGAAAGAGCCGCACAGCATTGCAAATCCTGTTCGACCAGTGGCATCCGTCGTGATGCTCGTACACATTTTTAGATCAAACTCGTCATTAGGAACACTAAGAGATTGTTGAATTTGCTTAGTTGCATTTTCGAATTTCCGAATTTAGTTCCGAACAAAGTACTACACAAGTGTCGTACATGTTAACATTTCTTTTTTAGTTGAGTTAAATAAATCTTTACATTTAGATTAACTTTGTTCGGTGCCCTATTAAAATGATATATTAATATTGTGCCTTTCATTATGATTATCATCATTCTAGCTGCTGAGAAGAGAAATGCAGATAAAGACTGTTCCCAGAGAATCATAGACGATTGTTCATATAAGGGATGTAGTTATATACCCAATGGAATAGATTGTGTTTGTTACTGTACGGTATGTTCTTTATTTTTGTTATCTATCCCACTGATAGGATGCATGAGAATGTCCTCGTTTCTGTATAATTAAGTTTTGCGGTATGTGTTCTCTATTCTTTATTTACTTTTTTCTTGCCCATTTTACTCTATTCTTTATTTGTTAGAAACTATCATTCTGTGTTTTTTTATCATGTACCCTTTTAACCCTTTTCTTTAATGTTGTTGTCCTTTATTCTCTGGAGGTTTATCTCTCTATTCTGTAAACCCTCTACAGACCCTCAGATAGAACATAAATGTAGGTTACAGTAACTTATGTTAAAATCTCATAAATTAATCTAGAAGATACAAATCAAGGAAACAAACAAAACATTTAAAAAGATAGAAAAAATTAATACGTTTAAAAAGTTTTTCGTTATTATATATTTTCAGTTATGATGTTTTAACTTATAATGTTATGATATGTAATAATTAAACTGATTGTTTTTTTTTTGTTTTTTTTCAACACTTTAATTGATAGTACCTTTAAGACTGATGCCATAAAAGCAATTTTAAATTGTTTCGTATTTTTGTTTTGTTTTCAACATGTACTAAGTGACTGTGCTATTTATTCTGAAATATGTACTTATAGTTATTTTATCACCAATAGAAGGTGATGCGGGCTATTTTTTATTGAGACAGGAACCCAACGAAAAATAAATAAGCCGTACATATGTCAACGTACCGACAATATCCCATGTAAAGCTCTTAATTGTCCTGAGTCTAGTAAAATGCGAATACAATTTACAGGGACTATCAAACATCTACCATCAACACCGTTATTCCCGAAATAAAAATAAACATTAAGATCTAACTTGAGACATCCACTGACCTGGCTAGTTTAATTTGGTGCTATTGGACGTCTTTATGAGCATACTGTTATGTGGAACGACACAGACAGACAGACATGGGCATTTGAAAAGTCAGAATGTGAATATATATGTTCAAACTCTTTTAGGTCATTTTTTAGTAGCAATAAACAAAAAAACTATGTCAATTGGACATGCTTTGATACTATATATGCCCTTGAATTTTTACTAGATAACATTTTTGTTCGCTTTGGAGATTCCGTATATCGTCAGGTTATCGGAATTCCAATGGGGACTAACTGTGCACCACTTATTGCGGACCTTTTTTGTATTGCTACGAGTTGAAATTTATGACAAAAATCAGCAAAGACCCATCGAAACAACATCTGATACACAAATTTAATAATATTTTTAGATATTTAGATGATATTTTGGCTCTCAATAATGACGACTTCAGTATGTATACTAAAGAAATTTATCCTGTTGAGCTTACTTTAAATAAAGCTAATACTAACAATGACCACTGCCCTTTCCTCGATCTTGATATCTATATCATTAACGGAAAGCTTAATACTAAAATATATGATAAAAGAGATGATTTTTCATTTCCTATCGTTAATTATCCATTTTTAGATGGTGACGTTCCCTTGTCACCATCTTACGGTGTTTATATATCTCAACTTGTACGATTCGCTCGTGTATGTAACAATGTTTTAGATTTTAACGAGAGACATTTATGTATTACTGAAAAATTATTACACCAGGGTTTTCGATATCACAAACTAGGCAAAACATTTACTAAATTTTATCATCGGTATAAGGACATCATTCGTAAATATAGCTCAACATGCAGACTTCTTATACGTTCAGGTATTTCACATCCAATTTTTTATGGAAATATTCTTTATAAAGACAAAAATGTCAGTATTCACCTCTGAAGCTAACAAAACCTTTAAATAGACTTATTAAGAAGGGATATAGTTACGATACTGTTGTCAGGTCATTAAAGATTGCATATTTTGGCGTTAATATTGATTCACTTATAGGGTCTTTGCATCGGCACTAAACACATTTATTTAAAAACCAGTTGTTGGCATGACATGGGTTATGTTCTTCTCATATATGTTATGATGGTATGATACTAAACCCCTAACGGGAAGGATTGTGCCTGATATTCATATGATGAAGACATAATCTTTCAATCAGTTTAATTGAAGTCTGGAGCTGGCATGTCAGTTAACTGCTAGTAGTCTGTTGTTATTTATGTATTATTTGTTTATTTTCTTTGGTTACATCTTCTGATATCAGACTCGGACTTCTCTTGAACTGAATTTTAATGTGCGTATTGTTATGCGTTTACTTTTCTACATTGGCTAGAGGTATAGGGGGAGGGTTGAGATCTCATAAACATGTTTAACCCCGCCGCATTTTTGCGCCTGTCCCAAGTCAGGAGCCCCTAACCTTTGTTAGTCTTGTATTATTTTTAATTTTAGTTTCTTGTGTACAATTTTGGAGTTTAGTATGGCGTTCATTATCACTGAACTAGTATATATATTTGTTAAGGGGCCAGCTGAAGGACGCCTCCAGGTGCCGGAATTTATCGCTGCATTGAAGACCTGTTGGTGACCTTCTGCTGTTGTCTGTTCTATGGTCGGGTTGTTGTCTCTTTGACACATTCCCCATTTCCATTCTCAATTTTATAACCATACTATGGCAAGACAAATGTATACAGTGGTAAATCCCATTAACTAAATAATATCTATTGACAAGTTTATTCACAAATGCACATTACTTCAGACTTATTGACAAAGTTAGCTATAAACTTTAAATACAAGTCCTCCAGAATCTTTACTGAGTCAAGACTTCAAGGAAAAATCACATCATACAGTATCACAGCTGATACACAATCAGCCAATATCTCGACCAACTGACCTTTATCAGAAAGTTTAAATACGTTCACTCTGACAAAACAAATAAGCATAACTAAATGTTATTACCCTACATCCCAATACATCGTTACTTGTCTTAATTACATCTGACAGTTCAACTTTAACTGCGGATACTAAAATAGCCATTTGTCAAATGAGCCTTGCGTCTTTAATTTTCTCAAAAATACAAAAAATAAACAGTTATGAAGCCAAACTAACCAGAGGTCAATATTTACAAAAAAATACAATGGTCTATTACAGTAACTGTTATACGTGAAAGAATCATTTAAATTTATTCCATTTTGTTTTCTAGGGTGATCAGGATGAAAAAAGAAGAAAGTGAAGATTTTGTCACCTAAGCCATTGGATGCCAAGTGCACGTAATGGATGCATATACTTAATTAAATAGTTTTCATTTCATTTCTTCTGTTATTGTTTTAAGATGAGTGTAATGAAGGAGACCCTGAATGAAGGCTGTTTCGCTCTGATGAAACCGAGATTTCATTGCAACGTCATCACCCAGATTAAGTACTTCCGCAAAAGAAATCCTTAGTATATTTTTGAATAAACTGGTACCCGGTTGTTATTTGATAAGTTTGACAATGTAATTGTATGTATATTCCAAAGGCCTTCAGAATATTTTACGGAAGGAACCAACCAAAGTTTTGATTGGTTGGTGGCTTCTTAATCTCCAGGGCAAGTATAACATGCATATTCATGACGATAACATGCTAATCATATTTGAATATACTATGCTTTGTACTAGACTGAAACGCTGGGTTGGGTTTCTAACTCAAACGGTACAGTGCTCAGTTTATCATATTACCCTATACAGACACTGCATTCTGAATACGAGTTATCCCTGATCTAACTCGTAAATGCTGCGTGCTTGACGAAAAAAAAAAAAACCCAACAAATATCGATTTTTAACTTCCATTTGAACAAGTCGGGAGTCGAACCCACGATCTCAAGCACACCACTGCAAGACCACCGCTTTTTTTCTTAGCCCTATTTTTGGGTTGATATGGCTGTAAAAAAATAATTGGTGAAGAACAAATCATATGGTGATGCAATTCTTTTTTTGCTAGAGCCATTTAAAAGTACCCAATTTTGATGATTTTCCCATTTTTTATCAATTTTTACTCATTTTTGGGCTATTATCATGAAAATTTAAACTTTTTTTCATACTTTCACTAAAGATGAAGTGGACCAATCTGAATAAATTTAACTTAAAAAAAACTATAGGTAGGTGTTAATATAAGAAAATTTTAAATAATTTTGTTGCTTTTTCGTGTCAAATTTACCATGTTGTCAATTTTGTAAATTTGGGATTTTTCTCCTTATTTTAGAACAAAAAACATATTATTTCAACTTCTTTGTTATAAATGATTGAAAAAATACATATCTAAGAAATTTGAAAGGAAAAAAATTGATATGGGATGTACATGTATCTGGTAAAATCATTTATTGTACCCCTCACCCATTTTCTCAACAGTTTAGCTAATGAGACTGAATTGATTGGTTATAAAATTTCAAAATTTTAATGCTCAAAAACTACTTGTTGTAAATACACAATTTTTTCACAGAGTTAAGTTTGATTATAATATTTTTTAAATTCATTGATATTTTCCACTTCTATCACATGTTTAAGAAATAATTCCAGAACGAGATTTCAACTGACTGAAACGTCAAAAGAATACATCCTTAATAAAAATATGATTCTCTGTGTATTACATTACACACAATTTTTCTGTTCTTGGCAACAAACATATATCTATGTATTTTGTATTGTACGATGTCGATGTACAGAGAACAACATGTATTTTTTCTTTGTGTTCAGGTACGATGTCAATGTACTCAAAGCGACAAATAACGATTTCTTTTAACTTCTGCAAATATTCGAAACAATCATTACGTAATGTTATCGCATATTTCTTTACTACTATCTCTGTATCTAATAACTTATTATTTTATGAAATAAACTTACACTTACGATTCCTTGTTACTATAGTGTGTGATAACAATTTGTGAGAGAATTCGATGTTTGCTATACCATGGTTCATTTCAACCCGAGACTAATAGAACACAGTGTTATAGTAGTCTCAGTTTCAACGCACTTTATGACAAAACCACTACTGTATAGTCTTTGTATGGATACAATGAGAACTAGATTTCAATGCTAACATGCACGAGTTTCTGAATTATATGACAATCAGACCAAAAGACTTATATGAAAATTTCCCTTCCTATCAATGTCATTCAGACAAAAGAAAAAAAATTACGGTTGTCCTACTTTGAAGGCCTGCTACGATAGATTCCGAACGGGCCTCAAAGTATTTAGTTTTATACATGAACATAATTTGTTTTCCTTTTCTGTTACTATCAGGGTAAAGACGAAGTCACAGCTATGGCTTAATAGACCAAAACGTGGAGCAAAATCACAGAGCAGACCTCCGTTTAAGATATTTCCCCAAAGCCATCAATTGTTAAAATTCATCAAATTTATTCACCAGTTTCCTCTATAAAGCACACGTGCACGACGCGAAAAGGACTTACTCCAAAACGAATTCGCTATCTAACAAAATTCAAGAAATTCATATTTTCTGATATATTGTACTGTAAAATCCCTACCAGATTAGGAATTTGAATAATTATGGTCATTACACGTAGATCTGAGAATACTCGGAGTTACTGAAATTTACAATAAACACAACAGGAATCTAGGTCCTGTAATAGGGGTCGTCCAGGATGAAGTTCAGGAAATTTAGAAATGCCATGAATTGGAAAATGAGGGATTATTTGATAGAAGTTTTGCCTTTCAGTAGACCACATACGAACCCCCCCCCCCCCCCCCCCCCCCCCCAAAGAGTTGTTGCAAGTGTTTTTAACGTGCTGATTGCGTGGCATTCCCTTTACACTAGGCATCGGATTTAACGTCCCCAAACTGACCAGACGTAACCGTAACTGCGTATTTATACATCCCGCACAGCCAAACTTTGGCAAGGGTTTTATTGTGGGTCAGATGAAGACCAAGTGGAGAGCTAGTTGAAAGTCAACAACAACTAATCAGAATAAAATGCTTCGCCGAGCGCAGCCTGATACGACCGCAGAGGTCGAACAGTTGAGACAAGTTTGGACACAATATGCAAGCTTGATACTGTCTGAATTTGAATTGTGATCAAATTTTTGACATAATATAGGTTTTTGACACAAAATAAATGTGGTCAAAGATCATAAAAATTGGAAATGGCACATTTAATTTACCTAGTATGGTCTGATATCCAAAAACTAACAACATGGTTAGATTCAGCATATAAAAAAACACCAAAAATTTTATTTTAGTTGAAATCAAAGAAAGTTTAATTTTGGACCCTTCAAACCTTAATATGGACTAATTTGAAAACAGGGCCCAAAATAAAAAATCTAAATGCACAATAAGATTCAGCATATCATAGAGCCGCAATAATTCAGTTTTTGATGAAATCAAACAAACTTTAATGTTGGACCCTTTGGACCTCAATGTAGACCAATTGAAAAATAGGACTCAATATCCAAAATAGTAATACAAGGTTAGAACCCCCAAAAATTAAAGACTTAATTTAATCCCATTGAAATTGGTTAAACGTTTTGTATTTATTTTCAATTGAAGATTTCTTGCTATTGCGCAATACTGTGCTGTTGCACAATACTTAGTTAATCTGTTATATATATAGAGAATATCATATGGCTTTTTCAATATAGCATCCGTATCAACCCGAGACACCAATATAATCCCAAGAGCTCTGCTCGAGGGATTATATTGGTTGAGGGTTGATACGGTGTGTGATATTGAAAAAGCCATATCATATACACTTTATTATATACATATACCTCACGTAGATGTTTTTTTTATGTGACATGACGTCATACAGGTAAGGAGATTTGAAATGACGTCATACGGATTATAGGTTTGACATGACGTCATGCAGATTATGGGTTTGATAAAGCCTTTGCAACAGTGACTGTAATCGATGACGTGACGTCATATAGATTAAAGGTGTGATAAAGCCTTTGCAACCGTGTTGATATCGATATCATCACGGATGGCTGATACAGCACGCTTGCCAATGATTGTATTACACATGCAATTTATCTGTATTTACTACTAAGTATATAATAAAATAATTTACACACCCTGTTTGGTGTGTTTCTCCTGTCATATCAGTATTTATTGCTTTTATATAAAAATCAGAAATAATCAAATGAATGTAAAAATGGAAAATTTTGGAATAAAAAAAAAAATCCCCCCCCCCCCCAAAAAAAAAAAAAACCCTAATAAAAAATTTTGGAAAACATTTGAAATTTTGAAAAATCTTGAAGAAAAAAAGTATGAACCCCAAGAATTTTTGTCTGGAAACTAGAACAATTATTGTTTTTGGCCCCTTTTTTGCCCGTAATTTCAAAACGTTTAGGGCAATTACCCCAAAACTCAATCCAAGCCTTCCCGTTGTGGTATGGAACCTTGTGGTACAATTTCAGACAGATCCATACACTTACACACAAGTAATTGTCCAGAAACTACAAAAATGCGTTTTTGGCCCCTAATTCCTAAACTGTTAGTACCATAAACCCCAAAATCAATCCCAACCTTCCTTTTGTGCTGTTGAAACTTCTGGTAAAATTTCATAGAGATCCTTTCACTTAAACTAAAGTTATTTTCCGGAAACCAAATGTGTTGTTGGACGACGACGACGACGACATGATATCTTTATACGAACGCAAATTTTGTGCAGTCGTATAAAAAATCATGTATCTAAATATAAAATGTCAGTGTTTTGAGCATGTTGAGGTTCATTCAAGTATTTCGGTTGATAGACGTGAAATGATCTGAACCAAATACTAGTTTTTAGTTTCTATATAAGGTGGAATATAATGACATACAATTCTATCCAATGCTCCATTCACTAAGAATGATAGACTAGTGCACAAAACACATTTGATAATTAAAGAGTTTTTACGACTTCACGTGCATCTACAGATAACGTTGTTTATTTTTTTTTAATGAAAAAAAATATTTGTGAAAAAAGTATGTGTATGCACGTGCCTAAAGTGCCTAACGACAGCTACGCCCCTGTTTAATGAAGCATCATGCTATGTTTGATCCTTTGTTTGTATCTGAACACAACTAGTATTAGTCCAGCTGATTCGTGCATATTTTAAGAAGAATTGTGGGTTCGATGATAAAAGCATGAAACTTTGCACAATAGTAGATATATATTTGATAGTCAATCTAAGCTATGGACCCACTCTGAAAAATCCAATAGGGCAGCCATTTTTAAGATGTCTGCCAATCAGTCTTAATTTCCCAACCATGTCTAATTAAAAGCAAATAATATTCAAACCAAATCTTTTAAGAACATGTAAAATGTAATCCAACGTCATGACAGTTATATTAGACTTTTAATTTATTTTTCATAATGGCGAAAAATTTAAAAATGGCAGCAAAAAAATTTAAAAATGAACAAAACTAAGACAAGGCTTTGCTTATATTCTATGGAATTTTATTTTGCAGTTCATACAATATTATAGGGATTGTATTTCAATGATACACGGATGCTACTTGCAAGATGATTTAATCAAAGATCCTATAAATGGAATCATTCGAAAGTTTTCAGGACGCCATCAGGATTTGTTTGACCATTAGGTACCATCTGAGTCACAAATGATAATTAATATGTTTCACTTCTCTTTTCCACAATCCTTTCTTTTTCCTCGATTGTGGCAACATCAAGTTAATCAATAAAACGACATATGACCAAATTTCTACTTGCAAACGGCAATCATGGTAGCATCACGAGTGCTTCCAGTTGGCTAGAAACTACACACCCTTCCAGAACACCTAGTTTTATTGAAAAGGGACTTGTGTTGTTTATGCTTTCAATGTTGTGTTATTCGCTCTTTATTTTTCAATGTCTGTGTTGTCAACCAGTAAAAGTCTGGTTATTCATCGTACAGGCATGGGAAACCTTATTTCATTTCAAACGTTTACATTCGGTCAAGTTTTGTATAATTTACATGATTGTACCAATGGTTTCTACATGTCTTAAATTTTGTGATTCTAACGGTTAGAAAAGAGACATTTATAAATCCACTATTATATGATATATGCCTAATTACTGGATATCACACATTAATCTATTTAAAAAAGAGCACATAGGCAGGTGTCACTTGTTGAACAGGAACTGTTGACCCTTCTGGTGTCGTTCAATATTTAGATTTTTGTGTAGTGATTTCTTGACTGCTGTTAGTCCTTTTTACTTTTTTTACCCATTTTCGTATCTGGTTTTGTTTTACTAATGATTTTTGAGTGCCTAAATATCTTCTCCACCTTTTTATCACCTAAACACAACATATTTTCAATGCGTTGTTCAAAATGTTTCTTAAGGACAGCCCATTTAGTCTTTACATAACACAATTGTCCTCGCGCAACTTTATCTACCGTAACATTCGTTTTATATCTGTCAACCACATTTTATTAGCTCACTACAAAATGCTGATACCTTTGTGATAAATGTCCATATGGCATATGCCATCCACAGTCACTCGAAGTAGCACTCTGGGTAAAAGGGCGAAACATACCCCGCCTTAAGCATGTTAAGCTTTCAAATGCTTTGAGAACGTTGTGTGGTTGCTTTTAAAACGTTCATGATGTAGAACATCATGTGGTTTACCTGATTGCGTTAAAAAATTTTAAGGCCATTTCTAGACAAAACACCATTAAATGCTGTAGTTGTGCGACATTTATTGTCAATCTGATTGTCCCACCTTCGCCTTTTACAAGTGTGTAATTCTACGCATGAGATTAATCTACATTTCCATTTTCCAATTACGTTTGCAACACTTAAACTGTATAGTTAAAGGACATAATATAGCGCACGGGTACTGGAAGCCATAATGTGGAAGGAAAAATACAACGAATCAATGAATAGGCAGTATAAGGAAATCTGTATGCACCCAGATTGAACATTCTCTTAATGATCTCACATCAACATGTCCAGTTCAATCTTTAATGTTACAGAACAGTTGTGGTTAAGTGCACTCTCAATTTCCCTCTTGTTACTCCATTCTTTGAATGTTACACAGTTCTCATCAGGGTCTCGTTCATCAGTAAAAAGATCAGTCAGGATCTTTGCATAAGAATGAGAAGTTCACCTACTGTAACCTTATAGAATGTCTTGTTCATGATGTATGAAAACCTCTAAAACAGAATCTGCTGTTCATGAAGTACTATGTTTCCTTGATTGAACACTTGTTCAACCACTGTTTTCTAACCAATCACGTAAGATTCTCAACGAATAAATTTCTATATGAAGACCTAAATCAAAAACATTCTTTGTTCTGCTAGAAATATGTTTGCAGAGTTCCACCTTTTTCACAAGTGATAATTGATACATTTCTCGGAAAAAAAAAAAAACATATTGTTGAATTGTATTCATGGAATGTCGAATCGTTGTGATAGATTTGATCTCTTACTGAAACATTGGTCAATGCGGACTGATATATATAAAGGCGGATGACCATTTGTTTTGGCTCTACATTCGTGGACTGATGTCCAGACATATTTAATGTTTTCATTATCATCTGCTTAAAGCCATCTGTGTTTTCTTTTTGTTAACTTATTTATACCATGTAAGGATAGAGTTGCACAATTGACTAATTGTACCAGGTTGGCATACATGCATTTCTGGTTAGTCAATTGACACAGCGTATGTTCATAAAACGGTAATTATAAGATGTAAGTATGAAACGCATGGTTATATTTGGTTAGTATTAAGGATATACATTGTATCTTATTCTATAGTAGTATTTATATATTATATACTAAGTTAGAGCAATAATACGAACAGATGTTCTGCCGCATAATATATAGGTAAAAGTACTAGAGAGTATAAGGGAAATTCATATATTTCAAAGCATAAGGTTATGACGAATTTGCCAAGCTAGACTTAGAAGATACTGAATGTAACGATTGTTGTCAATATTGTCCACCGCTGCTGTTGTTAAACCGCAAGGATTCGAGGGAGGAACCACATATTCAATGTTGAATGCTTCAAAGATGGAATCTTCTAGTACTGTAGATACATGGATATTTGGATCCTTCATAAACGTCAAACGTAAATTGTACATTTTGGTCATTTAGTACCTCCTTTTCTGTTCCTAGCATTCAAAAGAAGGCCTATATACATTAGGAGATGGATTTAGTTCAGTTGAAAGTGAAATTAAAGAAGAATAGAGAAAACAAACAGAAGTAACATTGACATGGGTAGCGTCGTATTTGCCTCAATAGAAAAAATCGACTGCATCTGATTATTTGGCCGAACGATTATCAACTAATGTTTTAATGACTGTGGAAAAAACTTTTCACTACATCATATCTTTTTAAACTACCAGCATGTGAAGCTTTTTTCAAATACCGTTGTCATACAAACAGATTGTTGCGGTTGTTTATTTAAATGCAACATGAAAATAATCATTTAACAGGATAAGCAATCACATGCCTTGTTAATGGCCTGGAAAGCCTGAGATTACTGCAATTTTGTCAGATCATTACTATGTCCTCTTTCAATTGATCATAAAGAAAACTGTTCGAATCGAGAAGTATACATTCTAGTTAAGTCTAGCTCAAATATTGGAATACCACCAGTGTCTATACGTGATCCCTCGTTGTTGACTACTGTTCTGCAAGAATGCTACCGTAGTTACGATTTTCTATACTTTCGTTACACATGTTTTGATTGATGTCTTTAGTATATAAATGTGGCATGCACTTGGTATTATAGGGCACTTAGTTTTACTGCAGGTACGTAAAAAAAAACCACTCTGTAACCTGCTATAAGGGATATTTGTTGATTTTGATATCTTATGGCGGCCATCTTGGAAAAAGCCGCCATATCAAAATTTCAATTTGGGTCCATAGCTTATATATTTTTTGAAGCACCTAGCACAAATTAAATGACAAATGTGAACTAAAATAAGGGTATTTTTTTTTTATTTTGATATTTTGTGGCAGCCATTTTGGAAAAAGCCGCCATATTAAAATTTCAAGGTGGGTTCACAGCTAATATTGTTGAAACACCTAGCACCACTGCCATTTTGACCTTAAATTTGACCTTATATAAGTGATATATGTTGATTTTGATATTTTGTGGCGGCCATCTTGGAAATAGCCGCCGTATTGAAATTTCAAGGTGGGTCCATAGCTAATATTGCTTGAAACACCAATAACTGTCCATAGCTAATATTGCTTGAAACACCAATAACTGCTACCATGCTAAATTTGGTGCTTTTATCATCAAACCCACAATTTGTTCACCAATCTGCTGTACTATATTAACAAATTATCATGTTATATATTTTTTTTCAAATTTAAGTATATAGTGAAACCTTTCTGTATTACTTGGGTTAATGCTCGGCTTTTGTTTATGTTCGTATTGCTCGATCTGTTTATAAAATGCGTATTGTTTGTGGACTGGTTTAGTCTGTTAGTTGTTTTGCGTTTGGTAATTGTGCTGTCAGTTTAGATTGTCTTGTTGGCATCGTCTTATCTTACTCTGAAACTGTCGGAATATTAGTTCTTGAATATGTCTGCTACATTTACCAGTGTCCATCTCTGTAGCAATAGTGTACTGTCCATATCATTGTCACTGCCGTTATACAAATCTCTGAAACACACACACATACAAAACTAAACGACCGCAACAACAACTTCTTCCTCCTCCCTCCTAAAAAATCGTTCAGTGAACAACTACAGTACATTTACATTATTTCAATCATATATAATCTGTCTGTAAAAAAATTGAATTTGTTATGATTTTTCGTTTGGTAATCATAACGTTTAATGAAGCATATTGATAATTATTGACATCCATTGTTTGTATACCTGTAGACAGCTGGTATTGCTTTATATCAGTTTATTGTAGGAGATGTTTGACTATATATGTATTGATGGGACGAATGGTCATCATATTACAGTAGAATATATTACAATGAGAATCATATTTTATCGTTTCAATATCTTTTTTTTTTAATTATGGGCACTGAAACTGCTGACAAAGAAAAAAGTTCGATTTTCCATAAAAATGTATCATACAATGTATACGATCACCATTTGACTTTAAACTTCAGTATCAGTAGGTCTGGCAATAACGTTATAACATGGCAAAAGTAATGCTTATTTTGATAATTGTATTAGTCTGTGTTCAACAAGTAACAAGCGGAATAGGTAAGTAGTTTGTACCTTGTACCATTAGAGGATATTTTTTTTGAAGAAAAATGGGGGTTAAAGCCTAATATGTATCCTTTTATTCATATTTACCAAAACATATTTTATATTGTACAAAATGACAATGCAAGATTTATTTTTTCTGACAGTACTAGTAATGTATATGTTTGCTCACTCTTGAAATTCAGAAACAAAACTAGACTCAGGGTACTTAAATGAAAACTGATCAAGCCAGACACACAATGTGACAAACAAAGTTAAAAGAGTTAAACAAAAATTAAAAAATGATTTTATTTGCGAATAATTCTTTATTACTGTAAACGTGGAAATTTCGCGTTGGGATTATATTTTTTCCATATTTTGCGATTACGTAAAATGCATGTAATGTACCCATTGTGATAAGGTTGCACATATAAACTATATCAATGTGAAGGGCTCATCTATCATCCAATTTACGAAATTAAATTAACCTCGCGTGAAAAGTTCTTCCATTGATATCGAGAAAATGACAACACACGAAAACATATACTTTTACAGTCAAAAAAAAAAACTATCCTCAACTAAACTGTCATTTTTTGTTTAAATCTTCTAACTTTTTCAAAATGTTCGTCTAGCTTGGTCAGTTTTCAGTATCGTAAGTCTTGTTTTGTCTCTGAATTTCTTAAACCTAAGTTCTGAAATACTATCATTTGTTTAATCTTAAATTCTTGAATTTTCGGTTCATTCAAAGGAAATGTTGTACAACCCTTAGAGCCTGGGGATTGCAGTACATTTCAATTACAATAATATGATTTTGAATTTATGTTAGGAAACTCGCATTACAAAATATAGTATATAGAGTAATACATACAATCAATGTAAATAAAAGGGAACATGAGATGTACGACAATGAAAAAGCAACCAAGTAAGACAAAATAAATCTCCTTATATTCATATTTAAAGACAATGGTTTATACTGTACACAAATTAAATGACGAGTCAGAATTGTTTTCTTTCTACAAATAAGATACAGATATATATTTGCTCGAAGTCTACATGTAATCAACTACATAATGAAGAATTATCCACCAACACTGTTTTTTTTTTAATACTTTTTACGTTGTTTGTGCGTCTGGCTTGGTCTGTTCTCGGTACCATAAAAGTTAGTTTAATTTGTTGTTGTTTTTTTAATCTCTCAAACTAAAATTCTGGTGGACTTATTTTTTTTTTCAACATTTAAAAAAAATCGGTTCACTCGAAGGACATTTTGTACCTATAAGAGCCTTAATAGAATTGCACTACGTTTCAATTGCAATAGGAGACAAGTCAGAGAAAGACAAAATGGCCATGGTCTAAAGAAACGGTAAAAAACCACACAACATTGCAAATAGTACTAAAGATAGAACAAGTTGATCCCATCAAATTAACCTCAAATGCTCCGGAAAGGTAGACCGCTTCTGTTCTGCTAATGGTATCCGTCGTGATGCTCATGTAAAATTACTCAGATTGACTTGATGCAATTGAAACAGTTTTTTGTATAAAAATCCTGATTAGGAATACTAGGAGACACAAACATATCTGAATCCGAAGACTTACAACAACAAAAAAAAAACATATGAACTTAAATAATACCTAGTAAACAGTTTACAATCGGAGGCAACCATTAAGGGAGATCTTATTATCAGTTTCAGAAAAAGGAAAGAATTCATATTCTTATACAAAAAAAAATGAAAACAACACGTTATAAATTTAATTCGTCCGAAGCGCATTTCTGGATTTACCTTGACCAGGAACGTTCCTGGTACATGTTCCGATATTATATCTAAATGCTTGTCATAAATCTTGTTTGTGATGGAGCTCTGACCTTTCGGTCATATTTAACTCAGTAATCAGATTACAAAACATCGTATGCAGTATTTTGATTGGTTGATTTCTGAGTCTCAGTACGATAATCGTGCTCGAAATTTTGATGACTGTAAGCCCTGGTCATCGTTACCCAATTATATTTTCAAATGATTGTGTCAAAGAGATCACCAGTAATAGTATGGTTACCAATTGGAAATGAATTTACATGAAAATCTCAATATTGCTATCTCTTTCCTCTTTCGGTTTTCTCCCGAGTCAATCCGTAACATTTACGATAAGAACCAACGGTGATCACCAAGGCAATTGAGGAGTAGAAAGGCTTGCGGAGTAATCAAATCGAAATGTTTTAAATAGCAACCAAGAACGCATTAATTTTACATTGATGGAGTTGGATTGTTGAATTTGCTGAATTGGATTCTCAAAACTGATGAATTTAGTTACGAACGAAGTACTACACGTGTGTCGTACAGATGAACATTTCTTTATGTTGAGTTAAATGTTTAGAGTGATTTCTTCAGCGCCCTGTTGAAATGATATCTTCGCATCGAGTATTTGTATAATTTATTAGTATTGTTATTATTGAAGCTGTTAACAAGAGAAATGCAGATAAGGACTGTCCTCAGGGAATCATAGAAGATTGTGCAGATAAGGGATGTAGTTATATACCTAACGGAATAGACTCATGTGTTTGTTATTGTCCGGTATGTACTTATTTGTTGTATTTTTATGGCCTGGGTTTGGGTTTACAAATAGAGAATAACGGGGTTTTACAATTAAAGGATAGAAAATAATGGGCAGCGAAATTAAATGATAGAGAAAAATGACCTAAAATTAAAGAATACGGAAATGAAGAATCCAACCCAGACCCTGAGGCCTCATTTATCACACATACAGGCCATAACTTTAGGCTTCATTTATCACACAGATAGGGCATAGCTTAAGGCCTCATTTATCACACAGATAAACCATAACTTTAAGCCTCATTTATCACACAGATAGACCATAACTTTAGGCCTCATTTATTACACAGATAGACCATAACTTAAGGCCTCATTTATCACACAGATAGGCCATAACTTTTGGCCTCATTTATCACACAGATAGACCGTAAATCTATCACACAGATAGACCATAACTTTAGGCCTTATTTATCACACAGATAGACCATAATTTTAGGCCTCATTAATCACACTGATAGACCATAACTTTAGGCCTCATTTATCACACAGATAGAGCATAACTTTAGGCTTCATTTATCACCCGATAGACCATAACTTTAGGCCTCATTTATCACACAGATAGACCATAACTTTAGGCCTCATTTATCACACAGATATATCATAACTTTAGGCCTCATTTATCACACAGATAGACCATAACTTTAGGCCTCATTTATCACACAGATAGACCATAACTTTAGGCCTCATTTATCACACAGATAGAGCATAACTTTAGGCTTCATTTATCACCCGATAGACCATAACTTTAGGCCTCATTTATCACACATATAGACCATAACTTTAGGCCTCATTTATCACACAGATATATCATAACTTTAGGCCTCATTTATCACACAGATAGACCATAACTTTAGGCCTCATTTATCACACAGATAGAGCATAACTTTAGGCCTCATTTATCACACAGATAGAGCATAACTTTAGGCCTCATTTATCACACAGATAGAGCATAACTTTAAGCCTCATTTATCAGACAGATAGAGCATAACTTTAGGCCTCATTTATCACACAGACAGAGCATAACTTTAGGCCTCATTTATCACACAGATAGATCATAACTTTAGGCCTCATTTATCACACAGATAGACCATAACTTTAGGCCTCATTTATTACATAGATAGACCATACCTTTAGGCCTCATTTATCAAACAGATAGAGCATAACTTTAGGCCTCATTTATCACGCAGAGAGCATAACTTTAGGATACAGTGTTTCACCGAGGGTTCGTTAATAAATATTGTCAGTTATGATGTTCGAGGTGGTACATAATAAAAATGAGCTGAACGTTTTAATCACGTTCTATTGTTTTGGAAATTTAAACTTCTTAATGATCAAAATTATTGTTTGTCGAACTGCTATATATCCAATGATTTTTTTCCAATTAAGTATGTGGTTCAAGTTTTTTTTTAAAAAATATACTTTTGTTAACGGGTAAAAGTAAATATTTTGTCAAAATTTTATGAAAATTAAACGAGCCAAATTAATTATAGTCAAGGTATTTGGTACCACCTTAATTAAAATGTTATAATCAAAAATAATTTAAAAAATGATAAAACTGATCGTTGTTTTTTTTGTTTTCAACACTTTGAAATACCATACGGTATAAAGTTAAGTTATGATAGTACCAGCATAACTTAACTCTATACCGTATAGTACTGTATTGCTATTTTTAATCTATTTTGGCACTTTGATCAACGGTAAACACTGTAAACACTGATATTTAGACTGACCCCTTACAAAAGGTCACTGACACCATAACCAGTGTATAAAATAAAGCTGGCTTTTCCTATGTATGAGCAATATGTAGTTAAAACCTAAAATGTCCGACTATCTTTGCTAATATCAAGATAAAGATGTGGTATTGTAACCAACAAAGTATATAAAAACATCTTCGGGTCATCCTATGACCTTCCACAATGATCAAATCCCTTACCATATAGTGAGCTATAACAGGCCATTGTATGAAAAAAATACGAAACACTTTAAAATTGGTTAAATTTGTGTCACAAAGTGGTGTTTCTCAATAACTGTATTATTTATTCTGCAATAGGTACGTATAGTTATTTTATTGCCAATTGAGATATATTTCATATTTTAATGAGACATCAACCCAACGAAAAAAATGTAAAAGGCGTAACATACAGTCTTCAACAACAGACAATACCACATATAAAGCTCTAAATCGACCCGAGTGTAGAAACATATAAATGTGTTCTAGAAAAATGTAAATGTATTCTAGAAAAATGTAAATGTATTCTGGAAAACTGTAAATGTATTCTAGAAAAATTAAATGTATTCTGGAAAAATGTAAATGTATTCTAGAAAAATGTAGATGTATTTTATAGAGACTATCAAAGATCTGCCATCAGCACAGATATTCCCGAAATAAAAATAAACATTAAGATCTAACTTAAGACATCCACTGACCTGACGAGTTTCGGTGTTATTGAAAGTCTTCAAATTCATGAGCATACAATGGTCTTGCTATTATTTTTATACGCGAAATAATTATTTAGGTTTATTCTTTTTTGTTTTCTAGGATAAACAGCAAAAAGGAAGAAAAAAGTGAATATTTTGTCACATATGCAGACTATCTGAATTATCTAACATAATCCCGTTGATGTCAAGTACACGTGATGGTTGCATATAATATATTAAATAGTTTTCATTTCTTCATGTTTTTACTTTGAGTTGAGTGTTTTGAAGGAGGCCCTAAATGACGCATGCATATTTAAGACTCGCACTAGTCGGGGATCGAATCCTCGACCTCCTGGAGATGATATTACCACGAGACTACCGAGTCGGTTCCAAATGGATTGTAGCATGCTTGGAAATATACGAATATTTCATGTCGACGGCTACTAACATCTTGATGTTACTCTCAGGTAGTACGAGAATTTGACCTAGCATATAAGGACACTATCTCTGAAAAAAGCTCTTGAAACTATCTGGAAAAACATGGATAAAATTCATCACACCCTTTTCAATGATCACGTTGGCTAATTGTATGATATCTAGTGCTGCTTCTACAAGACTTGTTTAAAAGAGAGAAACAAAAGCTCAAAACTATCATAAAAGTTACACACTTAACTGGCCTTCGGCTGTTTTCTTCTCTTCGGTCGGCTTGTTGTCTCTTTGACACATTCCCCATTTCCATTCTCAATTTTATTAACTATATACTTTAAATCAGCACTTGCGATCGCCCCTAGTTTTTTTAAGGGGTTCGTATTGCCCTTTATGGCAAGCTGTTCTCGTCAAAACTATGTTTAAACCATTTTTCGAAAAAAATTTACACACTGAGATTAAAAAACCTAAAAACACACAAAGAGAATTAAAAATTACACACTGAGATTTCATGAAGACGCACTGAGATTACAAAAATGAAAAACACACACTGAGAATTGAAAATTACACACTGAGATTTCAAAATGACCCACAGAGATGAAATGGCATATAAACGTAACAAAAATATAAAAGATTACCTTGCGAAATCAGGTAACAGTTGAAAGACTTTTGAAAAGGGACCCATGCTTAAACAGTTTAAAGCAAAAAAATCATGATACACTTTTATCAATAATCTGAATTATAGGCAACAAGCTTATGAATATGAGTTAGCAAAAAACGATGTTAAGTCTTGAAATTTATTACGAATGTTGGTTGAAGGAACCGCATTTCATTATAATGACGAGAGTTCGGGAAACCAAGATATAAATCTGTTGAATTATTCATCTCATGAATATTTATTAGAAATGTGCATATTTTTTTATTAATATCACTGTGTAATTAAAAGTTCTAAGTGTGTGTTTTACAATTTATTTCATCTCATTGTGTATTTTTTAAATCTCAGTGTGTGTTTTTCATTTTTTTTAAATCTAAGTGTGTAATTTTAAAATCTCCGTGTGTAATTTCGATTTCACAGTGTGTTATTCTAGGTTTTTAAATCCCAGTGCAGTTTTTTTAATTAAGGAATGACTGTAATATTTTTTCTGTCTATGAAGAAATAACATAAAAAAAAAGTGGTGCACACTGAATTACCCGTCGTTATTCATAGACAAAAACAATAGTACAGTCATTCCTTATAATTTAATTCTAGAAAGGAGTAAATAATGATAAAAACGTTGATGCCGTCGCGGTCACATGACAAAATTATGTCTATGAGATGATAGACAAAACACTTTCAGCCAATCAGAAGACGTGTTACATCCAAAATTAAATTATTTCTGAGTGTGCAATGTTTTCGAAAAAAGGGTTTAAACATAGTTTTGACGAGAACAGCTTGCCATAGCTCTTGCTTTAGTTTAAAGTGTTGTTCTTCGTGCATTTAAAAAAAATGTTCAATGTCTGTGTTGTTTTACCGGTAACAGATTTGTCAATCCTTTGAATGAAAAAAAAAAAAAACGTTTCAATTTCAAAATTTCACATTCGGTCAATTTCCAGGGTAAGCAAATGTACATGCCCGATAGATTACGAATTTGATAGTGTCTCAAAATGTCTTAAAAGATTATATAAGAGTCGATTATCAACCCGCTATTGCGTGATGCCTTATCACTTTATATAACTTATCAACGTATTTTATTGGAGTTACACAACGGGTGTCACATGTGGAGCAGGATCTGCATAACCTTCGTAGCACCTGAGATCACTTTGGTTCTTGGTGGGGTTCATGTTGCTCGTTCTTCTGTTTTCTATGTTGTGTAATGTATACTGTTGTTTGTCTTTTTATCGTCTTCGTTTCTGTCATGGCATTGCCAATATAAAACAAAGGAGATGTGGTATGATTGCCAATGGGACAACTGTCCACCAAAGTTCCAAAATAAAGTGGATGTAAACAATTATAGACAACCGTACGGCCTTCAACCATGAGAAAAAAATCGTATAGTCGGCTATAAAAGGGCCCCAACATGAAAAATGTGAAACAATTCAAGTTTACGAGAAAACTAACGGCCTGATTTATAACAAAACAATTTACAAAATACAAATATGACAGACATGAACCAATGACGACAACAACCACCGAACTACAGGCTCCTGACTTGGGACAGGCATATAAGGAATGTGGCGGGGTTAAACATCTTTGTGAGAGCTCAACCCTCCCCAAGTTACCTGGGACAATGGTGTAACAGTACATCCAATATCCTAAAACCTTACAGAAACTGCATACAAAATAAATGGTTTCAGATAAAGCTGGTTAACTACTCATCGTACTCATCCGATTATTTCTTTATTTAAAATATTATCGGTACTCAGTATTCAACTCTGTTACTAAGGAATACATGTGTTGCTAAGCAACCATTTTTTTCTTCAGATAGTTCGTTTATGAAATGAAATATGTTGCTTAATGCTTAATGTTTAGTTGTTGTTTTTTTTCGGTTTTTTTTAAACCTCTTTAGGTATAAAGATGAGGTTTCAAACTGTTTCTATTTTAAAAAATTTTTAAAAAGATTTTCCAAACCGACTTTAACAAATGAAAATATAGGTTATGTTTTGAACTTTTTTTCAAACTGGCTACAAACAAAATTAAACTTCATAAGAAAAACTGTTTTTACTTCAATATTTCGACTTTGATTTCAAAAACAACACCTCAAAATCGAACATCCGTTTGTTGCTTCGTATTTTGCATGTCTAAGTTGAAGAGTTATCTGTCGGAAACGATTTCATGGATAAGAATTATGCACAATGTTAGAATGTAGATGTCCTAAACCCACATCAGGGAACAGTCATTATTTATCAGCTGGGGGGGTCGGTTCATTTTACGGGGGTCACTACCAAAAATATCATACAGCTGGGGGGGGTTGCCATCAAAAATTTTATTTGACTGGGGGGGGGGGGTCACACAATGAAAGTTTTTATGTCTGACAAGCATATAAATTGTTGACGATATTGAAGTGAGTGTGCAATCTTTTAAATAATTTCTGTCATTATTAAATCTTTGGTCATGTACAGTGAGCACTAGAAGGATGTCTAATTTGTCAAGGATAGTGAATCTGATCACTCCTTATCACAGTCATCTGTTATGGTTCATTGTCCCATGGAACTATTATATTCAATATAATAGTTCCATGATTATCTATAGGACAAGTAGGATGTGAAAGTTTACAATCCGACTTATCTCAAGATTAACAACTGTATAAACAATTTGTCTCTAGTTTTGACCACAGGAAACAATGAGTTTTAAAAGTTTCTGGAAATGTGTATTACAACTTTCTGAAGTGTTCAAATCATTTTGATGCGATTTCTAAGAATAGATATAGGACTGTAAAAGGTGTGTACGTTCTAAAATCATTTGTAAATATGTATAATTATTTTATGAAATTATTTCAAAGATATCGAATAATAAAAAGAATTTTTATTGTTCCAATTGATGGCCGTTGTTAGGCAGCATGGCATTCACACACACAAAACAATACACTGGGATTTCGTAAAACATTTTCACATTGAAATAAGATATTGAATGTTCATATAGTTATTAACCTACATATATATATTTCTTTATCTCAAATAAATCATGTACATTTTTGTACATATTTGATCCAGGAAGGACTAGAACCATACAATTAGTATTATTCCACTGTTTAAACATATTGATAGTTTAATCAATATTTGCTTGGTTGAGACTATCCCACGTGTCATTGAACAAATCTTCATATTCCATTCTGAGGATCATGTTCCCCTCTGAAATGTCGGGATTACTTCGTGCGACGTTACGCGCGGTTAATGTACATAACGTTTTGAACTTCTTATTCTTCTTAAAATAGCGATAGCAAAAATCATTATCATGTTCAAATTTATTTCAGACAATAAAACAAACAGACTTATAATTAAATTTTGATCCTTACTGTTTATCAATGGGTATGTCGTGTTTAGTTTGACTTACAAAAACAAAATAATATTTAATGTATTGATAGTAAACAAAGCAAAGGCAGTGGAATAAAACATTCATTTCCCTTTGCCTCGGGAGATATGAAGATTTGCTCACCCTCGAAAAATCATATTTCCCTCGGGCAGAGCCCTCGTGAAATATGAATATTATTGGGTGAACAATTCTTCATATCTCCCTCCGGCACGGGAAATAAATGTATAATATTTGCAATGTGTTATTTTCAGTTGCACTTCCAAGAGTGGGATTGAAATAAAAAAATAACTATATGATGAGAAAATTAAAATCCAAAAAACATTTCCAAATCTTCAAAATTTTAATAAAGACATTAAAAGAATTGAGCCATGTTTTCTCTTTTTTTTAATGTTTTTTTCATTCACAAATAATTCTGTGTCAGACAGTAAATTTACATTTATTCATAATTGAAAGGTTATATATAATACTGTAGAATTATAGGTTGCATTCAAATAAATTGGAACAAAGAATTTTCTGTTTTTTTTTTCTTTTTACGTCATTCCATTCATTTATAATAGCACATGCTCATGTATATAAACAAATTTGGCTAATTGTGCCTTTAAAAGCTTAACTTTTTAAGAATTAGCAGTTTCAAAATCAGGGACAATCTGTATTAAGGTATGACTTCATTCTGTTCATAAAGGTTCAAGTGAAAAAGCAATATATATTTGTTTTCATTTAAATGCTTATTTTGTCCATTTTTCTTCTTGCATGTGTCAGCTATTCATATTCGAAAGAAAGAAAAAACAAGAAGAAAAACTCTATTGTATACTCAGGGTT